TCTCTCTCTCTCTCTCGCGCATGACGCTGCAGTTGTGCAACTTTCTGGCTTCTATATATTGCTGTCAGGAAATCGTATGTAGGATATTTGCAATATTCGGCGGTTCTGTGTCACAATATCACATTGACATGCCCAGGGTTTCTCGTTGCTGACTGTTGTTGACAAGGTAGTCCCCAGCAGGCTTCACCTACATTCACCTAGTATGTACACAAGGTGTTGAAAAAGGGCAGGAAAGGAATGTATGATGAACTCTCTGGCTCGCAGTGCAGTGAGGATGCCCCATGCTTGCTGACTGATGTTTGCGATAGACTGAGGGTCATGATAAGCGTAGCTACATGTCGCAACACACCTTTGCGACGTAAACCCACGTAGCAAGCATCCCATATGGACGGCAGGGCTGAGCTTGGTCTGGCACCGAACTCCTAGCTTCAGACTCCTGGTTTCGGGGCGGGCACTCTCCGCCAAACCGCGCCTGACTCACGTGCATCCACCTCAAAGATGCTGCGAGCTGTGCGCAAACCTCAGTTCGGCACGGCTCAGGTTCCTGGGTCGGGTTTCGGAGCTAACAGTTCATTCCAAATTCCATTAATGTAGCTTCTTGCGTGCCTTTGTCGTGTTGCAGCTTTGCACTGCGCTGAAACAATGACAAGTCTTGAGCCTTGCAAAGCAGTCTGCCGGCTGGCACCAGGTCACCAGGTCCGAAAATCTGCGGTAACAGAACAGGAAGCCCTAGAGCATTCCTGCAACTAGCATCGGAGTGATCACATAAACTATTTCTCAACACAAACAGCGCAAAAACAAGCATAATTACTCGGCAAACACAGAATGATAATACTGGGCTACCCCTCCTCCTGCCTGTTCCTCTTCTCACTGTACCACTACCTGCTATTGACAAATAACACTTCTACTGCTCATCCTCCTCTTCATGCTGCGGCTGCTGCTACTGCTGCTGNNCTGCCACTACTGCCACTACTGCTGCTGCTGCTGCTGCTACTACTACTACTACTGCTATTTCTACTGCTTCTGCTGCTGCAAGTTCTTGCGTTACGCGTTGATACAAACAAACTGCTACTAGTATGACTACCACTACGACGACGAAGACTAATACTACTGCAAATACTACTCAAAGTAATGATATCAATATGAAAGCTAATGCTGATGCTCGTGCTAATGCGAAAGCCAATAATGCTGGTAATACTCATACCAGTACGAATACTAATACCACTATTACTGATATGCCGACTAATGCTACTACTAACACAAATAACAGTGCGATTGCTAAAACTGGTGCTACGTAGTGCTAGTGCAATTGCTAAAACTGCAAATGCTGCTACTTGTACTGTGCTAGTCTCAACACTACTAAAACGACTAATGATTATACTACTACTAACAAACTAAGAAATACTCATACTCACACTCATATTACTACGGATACATACTGATACTGGCACGAATGCGAATACGAATACCAATATCAAATACTATAACACTGGTACCAGTCTCAATACTAATACGAATGCAAGGCCTTAGGGGGTCCCTTCGCGGACTTCGAGGCCTCAACAGGAGCCCTTTGAAGCTAAGTTCCGCCCGACACGAAGGAGTTAATGAATCTGAATCCGGATTGAAACCCTCAAGGCAAAGCCACCGAACCCTCAACAGATCCTACAAGA